CTGGTTGTATCTGCACCTTCTTCCTGCTCTCATTGTGGAAAATGTGACAGGCTAGCTGTTTTTTCTCTTCCAGTATTTGCGCTAGGCTAACAGTCTCTCATCTTACAGCGTTTTCAGGCTTCTCATTTAACTCTTGGCAAAGCAAGAAAGCAAATAAGGATATTTACAGAAATGTTGACATATTCCTTTTGAAAATCTCATCACTCATACGCCCCACTGTTATAATCCATTTTATATGTTCTGCAGTGCTACTATCTCCCTTTTTTTTTTTTTTGTCCTGTGAAAACTCATTTTTCATCCTCTGTTTGTTTTCTTCATTTTTCCTAAAGTTCCCACTTCACTTTTCCTTTTTGTTCAGCTTCAGTTCATTAAACATTCTTGGCGCTGCAGGAACGTACTTTTCCATTACTGCGCCATTAATCATTTCAGTCGTTCCTTCTCCCCAGCTTATGCGGACACCCCCGTCCCTCCACTCCCAATTCAATTAGTCTTGTTTGACAGTTGTTATCTTGGAAAATGGCAGTAACGGCAAGTGCCACACATACAGAAAAGTACATGAAAGGAAGAGGAAAATTGAATGACTACCATCTGAACGCACATGCTAAATTACAGTAACCTATGACCCGTCACAGGATGGGCTTGAGTCAGTGAAAGCTTCGGGCCCTTGTAAAAACAGGACAGAGCGGATGAGGGAGCAGCTCAGCGGTTGGTCATATTTTGCAAGCCGCTGGATTCACTGCTGTAGTGGACACCAAGAACAGATGAAACGCTTGTGAGTCATCTTGGCCCTTGAATTCTTAATGGAGCAAGAAACACTGACCATGTTAAACTGTTTTCAAAGCGTGTGTGTGCATATATTTGAGTGCGTTTATGTTTGTCTGCGATTTTTCATCCAAATGTTGCAATGATTTATTTTGTCTGAAACTCCACAGAGTTAACCCACTTGTGTTCCAAACTATAGTCTGAAAACCATCTCCGAGGTGCAACATGGAGCGTTCCGGAAAAGCTGAAGTGATAAAACGCAAAAAAGCCCATTACCTGAACTGACCTAACGTACACGAGAGTCCAACCGAAATAGGACACAGGAATGACTGCCAGCCATTTGCAGAAATGCTGTAACTGAGGTCTGAGGTCCAATGCACTATTAAGACTGGAGGAGCACCATATGCTATGTCGTGCGTCACTGTTGGCTAGCATGTCACATTTATAATGCAAACACTTCCTTGGGCACACATGCAAAATGCATGGTGATAGGAACACCAAACAAAGACTATAAGACACATTGTTTTGTTGAGCCACTGTTAAGGTCTCTGAAGGGCAAGCAGCTTTAATTGTAGAACAGTTACATAATAATTGGACCTTCTTGGGTGTCTGACCTTTACGTAAGAGCTTGATTAGCGCTGGTTCATATAGCTACGATATATCAGGTTAAGACATGGAGATCCAGCATTGGTTAGCATTGTGACAAGAAGCTTCTACCCTCTAATCTGCTGTTCTGATAGGGTCTTTCCATGTGGCTTCCTCTCAGACTCCAGTGACATGCATATTAGACTATCTGATGTTTCTAAACTGGCTGCAAATGTGTGAATGTGTGAGTGATTGGTTGCCTGCCTCTTTAGGCTCTTGAAGGAGTAGCGGCCTGTTGAGTATGCGTCCTGTTTTCCCCCCGGGATAGGGTCCAGCTCCCTGTAGCCATTTACTGTATAAAACAGCCAAGGAAAGCAAGAATTATTGGACTGTGTTGCCTCTGTAGCAGCCAGAGCTGTACCCAAAAATACACACACCTGGCATACTGTCAATACGAACATGTTTTATTAAAAAAATGGCACTGTGAAAGCTTGCGATGAGTAACAGTTCCACTACATACTGACAAGAACAAATGCTAATGCAGAAGTTAGCTTCTGCATCTACTGCAACTGGCCAATAAGTGAGGAAGTCTATAAGAAAATGACTTCGCTACAACCCCTTCAACTCCCTCATGGCCTTGACAAACAATGTACTGATGAGTTTACGGTCCTAATCATTAGTTTCAGGCCTTATCTAATACAATATAATAAAGCAAGGTGTGTTTTAGTGATTGAAAACTAGCTACCATAGCAACAAGCATTGTCCACAGGCATAGAGATTGGACAACCTTAGTTTTCTGATGTGTATTCTTTGACCAGTTGGTTATTGGAAGTTGCTGGCTGGTGAATGGTGAAACTGGTCACAAGGAGACCTCCTTGTGATCACGTTGGTCAATTGCTACAGTCGCTTATGTTTTACATGGAGGATGCTGACTGCAAACACTCGCAAATTACTCGCCAAGTATTACTGAAACGTGTAACATGAACTGGAAACAGAATATGTTCACAAAGTAAAAATGACACCTTTTAAATCTGAATCATCTGTATTTGGACAGGTGTGTGCACACAAACAGGAATCAGGAATGTTTGTGTTCATTTTGCTCTTCTGAAAACTAAAAAACATTTCTTTTTTATGTGTGCTGAGTTGCTGTGCTAAGGCACAGAACATACTTGAAAGGTCTCTGTTTCCAGTTTGTCTCACTTTTTCCCACACAAACTTATTGGTCTCTCAGACTTTAGCAATTTATTTTATACAACTGACAGAAGCCTCAACCAACCGCTCACCAACCACAGAATACAACATTTTTCTCCAGTGACCAGTGGTTGCCAGATGGTTGCCGACTGGTCTCTATGTGTCACTGGTAAATCCAGCCCTTGCTCATTGCTTCTGTTGAACATCAACACCTAGGTTTTGATGTTCAAGAGGCTCAGCTTCACAAACAAATTGGTTATTTTACGGTGGCCACGTCTTTTTGTTTCATACAGTCTATGACGTGTACACAGACAAGAAGCTTAAGTTCAGTTTTTTGAGATGGAAGATTTGATTTTTGTGGTCTTTGTAAATATGGAGTGCAGATCCAAAGCTATGCAACTCACCACTTATGTTATTTGTCAGACATTATTTATTCGCAAGCACTTTAAGTACACCCACGTCCATATAAAGGAACATGAGCAAACCTCCCCTGAACAGTATCCATATAGTTCATGTAAAGCATAAGGGCTGACTTGTTATGTGCTGGGTAAAACCTGAGCCAGACGGGTGCGGTGTTTCCATAATACTGCCGCATTTTCAATGAGACTCAAGGCGACTGCGTAGCAGGGCCACCCATGCTGTGCCGTGCTGAGGCTTGTACAGAACAGTAAACATGGCAGGGGCCTTTTGGACCGGCTTCTCAAGCCCCTGGCCAAGTTGTCTGTAGTGGATGCCAACCAGAACTGACTGAAAAAAGAGGCAGAGCTGTTCTATAAGTTAGCGCTGCCAGTGTATGTCAAGAGTTTCCCCAAGGGGATGAAATATTCACAGCGCTGCCAGTGGAGATGAAAGTAACTGCAGACACGTCATTAATTTGTCATGTTGTCCAGAGGAAGCCTTCCTTTTATTCTAAATCATGGGTTTGCCTTAAGAGATCCTTAAATGAGTTTGTGATGGATTTTCCCAATAAAGAAAATTACTAAGGGCAGTGCAGCTCCAACTCTCTCATGAATAATAATGATGATGAAATACACTGGTGATTCTCAGTTCATACAGAGCTAAATGAATCATAAGTCTGACTCTAAAACTCTTTTAGCTCAACTCAAACAGACCTCAGAGGAAACTTTCCACATCAGCATGAAAGAAACATATGCAAGTGTAGTCAGAGTATGAATGTACCTGGAGCAATTTTGTACATTAACTATGAAGACCTCTCAGTAATTAAGATTAGATCCAGGGCTCCCATTGGACATCTTTCCGTTTTGTCACTGCCACCCAGTCAGCGTGGGAAACCATACAAGCTCCAAACTCGTGTAATTTCCTGCCTTTTGTAAACACTCCTTGGGGAGCTAGATATTATGCTGCATAGTCATAAATATATTGGTCACTGCTCTGGCCAGAGCATTTGTGTAACACATGATAATGGTGCTCCGTTACAGAAAAGAAAAACACTGAAATCACAATCTTTTCCCATATCCCATTCATTCTTACAAGTGTGTGAATGTTCAATTTAGGTTTGCACCAGTTAGTTCCTCAGGTCCAAATGTAAAATTGTGATGAGGAAAAAGCCGATACCCAGAAGGGAAATTCAAACAGAGAGCTAAATAGTAAATAGATCAAATAGATAGAATAAGACACCAAAGTAATAGATTTCAGGTATTAAGTGAATACTTCCTTGTTCTGCTAAAGCCAAAAAAAAGTTGGAATCCACCGCATGATGAAAAGAATTGCAACTGTATGCAATGAACTTGCGGTCCTCTTGAATTGAAACTTGCTTCAAAGACAAGGACCAGTTCTGCAACCACTTGCAGACAGTTGCTGTATTCTAAGGGAGTTTGGTGCTTCAATATGCAATAAAATGGCAATAAAGTGAACTCAGTCTGTGATTAATCAGTCGGTTGCTATCTGCATGCACAGAAATTCATATTTGCTACTTACATTAGACTCCAGACATAAACTCATGAATTTAAAACAGAAATTCCTTCACAAGTGGTGACATAGTTGCCGTCTATGCTGTCATAGTTGCAGCTATTCATGCAAAATGACACAGGTGCTCGGCAGCCTTGCTTTATATAGTTATGTAACCATAATATAACCAGCTGGGAACCACTCGCAAAAAGACATGTTGCAGACAAGTTGTGCTCATCATTGCAGACTGACTCAGATTGATTGGGTCATGTTGGGAGTCTGTCTTCATTTATGACTTGGATGGTGATTAGTTGCAAACCTTCACCAATCTGTCTAAGCGGGACTACAGACAGTCCAAGTCTGAAAGTATCCTTTGTGACTACCTTGTGATTGAAAGTGTGACCAGTTGGTCAACACATTCACTTGCAAACAACGGGCAACCTCTGTGTCATTTTTGTATTATATTTACATTTACAGTTTGGTTAAATATCTGATTTAACCACATATACGACAGTCAGGTATTTAACACGATAAAGGTTATCTTGTGTTTCTGTTTCGATATTATGTTGCAGTTGCAATGTTACATTTCAATCATAGTGTAACTGTATTTATTTACTTAAAAAACATGTTTCTAAATACTTTGCACCTTCCAATTAACAACTGGTCAAATAGCGCCCCCTTACGGTGCTGTGTAAGTGCGTATCACTAACTCAGTGGGAGAGAGAAGAGAGGACAGGCCAGCTGTCCTAAACAGTAAAATATTCAACTCTTAACAGGAAGAAAGAAGAGCTAGCATTGTTTAATAAACTAACAAGCGCGTGTTTTCAGATAGTGAAATTAATTAAGAATTAAAACAGACGTCGTATTACGGGAAGTTAAACAAATGAAGGTAAGTTTAGCACCGTTAAGCTTTTCTTCGATGGCTTAGAAAGTTAATTGTTTTGGTGCTAACAGCTGCACATTTATCGCCACAGAAACTCCAGTGGAAATGTCTGGGTGTGGATAATAAACATTCAGCTCACGGGGGAAAGGAAGACAGCCTGCAAACAGAGTGAGTCCCATACAGCTTGTTTGTCGGGTTTGTTTTTCTGGCCTTGCTTCGTTAGATTGGTATTATGCATATGAACGCGTTCTGAATGAGGAGTGCTTTTGTCTGAAGTGTGAGTTTGTTGTAAAGCCGTGTGCCTACACAGAAGCACCCCGGAGAGAGCTCTTTATTAAGAGCTGGTGCCGTTTTCCCATCTTGTAAAGGTCACCTGTTGGATAGAACACGTGTCAGAGGTTATCTGCCATATTTGCTCAGAGCTGATGTTTACTGCATATGTGAAACGTGGCTGTGTAGAAAAATCATCACCTGATTTTGTTATATGTGGATGGAGAGAGAGAGAGAGAGATTCTGTAGCAGACTATATCTATTTCCACAGATTAGGCTGGCACAGAAAAAGTTGTCCATAATCCCACAGTGATCATGCAGAGTGATTCATAGAGTAAGTTAATAATAGCCACTATTTTTACTCATGAATTGCAATCTTTATGGCGACATGGTTATTCATTAAATGGAGAAACATTGTGCATTTCTTAGATGAAACTCTCTCTTTTCACCTTAGATTTTCTTGAACTTCTGATACAAGTTAAACAAAAACCAAACAGCTGGAGTGCGGTGTGGGACACAGGATCCTCTGGTGGGGCATTAGGCTCGAAACATTGGGTGTTTTTGACCATAAAGCCTTCAACTGGAGGGCAACTGGAGCTGCATGCTCCCTGCTGCAAACTTATTGGCGGGTCGGGTGATGAACCCTCTGAGATCTACTGACTAATCTGATAAGTATGTCCACTTGCAACCAGCCAAGATTAGATCCTAACATCTTAAAACCATAAGCGAAAGAAAATGGTCCAGCGTAGCCGGTTCACTGTGGTCAAACTGAAAAGTGTATTCCACAAACTCAATAAGCGCTGCTCTGTGACAGCCCGTGGTGACTTGGTTTCTTGATTAACTGCGTTCTGGAAAGATGTCATGTTGGTCTTAAAGCAGCTTTTGCGCAATACTTGCATGTCACAAAGCCACAACAGCTGCCTACAACTTAATATTGCTTTTGACGCTGTTCTTTTCCTGCCCGTTTTAATTATAAATTCAAGTGATGCATAAAAATCCAGTCCAGAAGCCAAAGCTGAATTTTCATTATTGACTGAATTGTTTTTTTTGGGGGGGTTTTCACAGCCATCAGTTTCTCTTCACAACTCATTTCCTTACCATAGCTTTTTTGTGGTCTGATTTACTTGACAGAAACTCTCGAGTGAAATTACAATGCGAGCATGATTTATTCATAGAGATTAAGTTAGATGAGGTTCCCAGAATTGAGACATTTTAATACAGAGGTATTTGCTTGAAAGTCACAAAGGCTACAGTAGAACTTTTGTTCACAGTGTGTTGTTCAGTTGATGTGGGGTATTTCAGATGGCTTTGCCCACCGGAAGTTTAGATGGAGTAAAAACAAAACAAATCCCTCCAGTGAATTCTGAGTCTACCGTATTTTGAAAATCCCACAAAGGATGCACACAGGAGATATCTTGGTCAGATGCAGCTAACTTCAGATCTCTGAGCACCCTACCTGTAATGCTGAGCTCAGCATCACTTAATTTAGCGTCTTTTAGTCACTACCTTTATCTCTTTTGATTAAAATGGTCACAACTGTGCATATAAATATTAGGGCTGCCACGATTAGTCGACTAGTCACGATTACGTCGACTATCAAAATCGTCGATGACTAATTTAATAGTTGACGCGTCGTTTGAAGCTTTGTAAGATCCCAAAAGACGCAGGAATAAGTAGTAGGATTTAAGAGTGTAATAACGGACTGAAACAGAAGATGGCAGCACTGCATGCACAAGGATGCCAGCTGCCGTTAAACTCCGAAGAAGAAGCAGTGTCCGGTATCGTAGCTGTATCCAAATTCAGGAACCGCATCCTCCTGTGCCCGCATTTGTAGGCCGATTATGTTACAACCAGACGACGAAGACTGTCCAAATTCGAAGATCCCGACAAATGCGTGTTTCATTTCCCCAGATTTGAAGGATGGGTCGGGTGTATACTTCGTGGCCCAACCTATCCCAGAATTCATAGCGCAGCCCTGCTTAGTTTCCAACAATGGCGGCAGCTGGTTAGTTTTAATATTACTCTTATTACTCTTTCTGGGTCACAAAATAAACGTTTAACATATTTTCAGGCGAGAATGTAGCTGTGTAAACCTCAAATATCTGCTCAGTTTATCAAAACATCACATATTTTTAAAAGTGCTCCGACGTTTTCGGAGACACCTGTTACCCACCAGCTTGATAGCTAGCCGGGGTTCAAGGCTCACTAGAGCCGGTGAGAACACCGGACTCCCTTTTTCAAACCCACCGCCGTCTTTCGCTACTCAGGTTAAACATGATATATAAGTCATTTAGATAACTTAAAAATGTTATTGTTTGGCTTTTTTCAGTATTTTATTTGTTCCTGAGTAAATCGGTTTGGCTGAGATTAAAATTATAGTTTTTACACAGCTGAATAAACGTCAAGCAGACAGCTGATTATCAGAAGTGTGAGATGCTCGAGAACATACTCCAGTGTCCTGTTATATTTTAGATAGCAAGGAGCAGACGGCTGAGTTTATTAAACTTCACCTAAACAATCTCCAGATTTCATTAAAATTTAATAAAATATCATATTATCTTTATTTTTAGTTAGCACATACCTTAAACACTTAAAGCTGTAAGCTAATGATAGTTATATAAGAGCAGATGCATGCTGGTGCAGTAAGCTGTACGTTTTACGTCCAATGGATGCATGATCTGATTAGTCGACTAATCGCAAAAATAATTGGTGACTAGTCGACTATCAAAATAATCATTTGTGGCAGCCCTTATAAACATACAGCTTGTGTCTAAGTGAGTCTGCTTAGTCACCTGACGGATAAACGCCTTCCGAAATTCTTTCTAGAGATAGTTGAAAGTTTGGTCATATGAATGCCTTTCTGCCTTTAGATCAGGAAACTTAAATTTGACAAAGAAAAGAAGCTGTTTGTTACACGAGCTGGTCGAGAGGAGCGCTCCGGTGAAACGCTGTTGGCCTGTGAATCTACATTGTTGCATTTCCTTTTTATTTGTGACCTTTCTAAAACGGTTGCTCACAGATCCTACAGTCCAAGACTGTTCAAAGACCCCCTCTCAGTATTAGACATGATTTAGGGTCAAAATTTATGGTTTGTATTTAAAAATGTTAAAGTTTTGTAAGTTTTAGAGTCCTTCTTGTCAAATAACTTTCCAATTTTCTGATCTTGGAGGGTTTTTAATATCTGGCATCAGCTGCATCAGCTGAACTAGGAATTTAGCTTATTTTATTTTGCAGGGACTATTAGAGTAAATGCTTTTTATTGTGCGTTTACTGTAAATTACAGCAGCACATCATCTCACCCTCTGCTCCTGCTTCCTTGGAAGTTAGCATTTAAAAATGATTACCGATTTCTTGCAGAACTGGTGCAGTTCTCTAAAGAGCTGTTGTCTGTCATGGTCTTTATATCCAAGCTTTACCAACATGTTGCTTCAAATGTTTTCTCAGAGTGCTTATTTAATAAGTTAAGTTTACAGAACTGCCAAGACTTTACCTAATGTGAACAGGGTTTTTTGTCAGATTATATTTTTAATCAGGCATGAAGAGATTAGAGGTTTGTTCTGAAGTCTAATTTACATTAGTTTTGTGCATTAAAACGCAGAGAGTTGTGGGCTGTGAGTCATGTGTTGCTCTGGGGACATTGCTATTAGTCCACTGTGCACTCACGCACTCCCTTTTGGTGATGGCAAAAATGGCTCTGGGTAGGTACCAATAATCTAACCCGTATAGGGAAGAAACTGAATGCAACACCTTCATAGCTAAAGCAGATTCCTTGAGTCTTTCATTTGGATTTTTCCACAGGATAACACCACCATATGATGAACCTCTGTTACTCTTGTCAGCTGTATACATAGCCAGTCTTGGAAATTTGTGTGTTGCACCTGTAATAGCAGCAGCATGGTTGACTTCTCTTGTGAGAAGAGGTGCACATCACTCAGATGTGCCTTCCCATGGAAGCTTCAGTACTGTTGTGTTTTTTGTTTTTTTGTTTTTTTAAGCTAAGTGCATATGTACTAGTTTTTTTCTTTTCTTTCTTCTTTTTTTTTTTACGTTTCGAGTTGTTTAAACTTGAATGCAAAGGCCATACTGTGAATGTGTTAGATGTTTTAAATGTTTGAAGTACCAGACATCTAAGTATAAACATCAGCCTCAGTCTCAGGCATCAGGGTGGAGCAGATCGTCTGGGCTTAAATCATGCGAGTATAGTGCTGTCAGAAGGGTACAGACAGCATTCATCACATTCCTCAACAGATGCCACAGACGTAAGACCAGCACGCCTTAAATGCATTGGACCTGAACCTGGGGCAGGCAAAACTGAGGAAATCAGAGCTGACTGGGGCACTGACGGAGAATGCTTTGAGGTAAAAAAAAGAAAATTACTGTTAAGCAGACTTCTTACCATTTCCTCGTCTGCTGAGCTGCACCACCCAAAATGTATAAACAGACCTGATGAATATGTGTGTTGATGGATGCAATAGCACGCATTTCAACAGCAAATTAAACTGCACATGGCAGTATGGAATGTACTAGCATTAAAGTTTCCTATTATGTCTGTTTCCAGGTTTCCCTTACAGTGTTAGATACACTGCATGAAAGGGAGATGGACCTCACAACATCTTTGTTTATCTCAATGCATCAAATTAAAGTAACAAAAAAAAAAAAGATTTCCCACCTGGCCTGAAAAAAAAATTCCAAGGTTTAGATGCACTTTTTAATAGGAATGATGTAAAATGTAAAGTATTTAATTTTTTTGTGTGTGTAATTGATGAAAGCAGGGTTATTGCTAGTTGTCTTCCTTGATCAGTTTTTATAGGGTCCATTTTAATATCCCATTGTGGAGAAGTGGTTGTGCTAGACCTTTGAAATGTTTTAGGGTAAATGTATGGACTCTCAGGGGTGTAGCTCAAATTAACACAGAATGATGGATTGAAAGATGTAGAGTCTCTGGCAGCAGATTTGGAGGCCTGTAAAAACCACAGCTTCGTAGGTATGGGACTGATTTTTTTTTTTTTTTTTTTTAGCATATTCTCATATACATAGCACATTATTTATAACAGTCCAAATCAGGTGACTGGTTTGACAGATATTACAGTTTGAATGTGGTAGGAAAAACACACATTTTCATCTAACTTTAGAATAATATTCCCAAATTACAAAGCCAAGTTCCAAATCAGAATTTCTTTTTATTTGTAGAAAGGGTGAAGTTAATACTACGGCCAATATGCTGCTGCTGCTGCTGATGGTGATGGTGATGGTGAGGAACTCTCTCCAAGACGGAACATTTCCATGTAACACTTTTTAAAGCAACTTATAAGATATTTCCTGAAACACTTTTGAGATGGTGAGAGTTAGAGCAGTTGAGTTCCACATGCAATCAGAAAAGTAAAGATTCTTGGAATTCAAAAAAAAAACCCAAACACCCCAAACAAAACACGCCAGTGGCGCAATTGCTGGACAACACACTCATAACTGGCTCTGTTTTAGTTTTTCGCTAACTGCTTTAACACAGCCAAGGTCTTTGGACTGCTGAGCACAACATACCAGCACTATTACTTTTTCCTGACTCAGAACATGTAGTGGGCTTTAGCTTGTGGCAAAGATAATCAGCATACATTGTTTGTGCATTGTTCTGCTTTTGAAATGGTTCTAATTTCTTTTAGCTTTTAAGAATTATTTCAAAGGTTGGCTGTGATGAACAGTTGAGATTCTTTCGGGACAGTCATCATATTTGTGTGAGCAGAATGGGTTTGAAGCTCTCCACATTTCTGCTATTCTTAATTGACCGGATCTAATGACGTTATTTATGTTTTTTTTTCTGTGAATAAGGACTATTTTCTTGTAATTGGATCACATTTGAAATATGTAATTGGTTGATGTCAGTGCTAGGCATTCATTCTTTGCATAGTTCACAACTGCTATTTGTGGTATTTTAAGCTTTAAAGAGCTCGTTGACATTTTGAACGATTGAGATGTACTGCCAAAAAAATAAAATAAATAAAAAATCCCAAATTCCACAGCTTTCCCAACCTCAGTCCTTCATGTTAAGATTTGTCACATTTGTCAGTTTGGGATTTTCCCAGGAATTTTCAAGAGATGTCTAAACTTCAGAGGAAAAACAAAAAAATGTAAGAACAGCACTGTGAAAACACAACGTGGATTATCTGCCATCGTGAGCAGGGATAAGGCGCACGGTTCTTAAAAGAAAACAATCCAAAGAATTTGCATGTGCAGAAACTTCCAGCTCCAAGATGTGTTCCTGAGCGACTGAACAGGAAATCTTGACTTGGAGCGAACATAAGCATCTTTTTTCACATTTCATTTTTAACATTTTAACATTTTGTCTCCTTTTTCCTGTTCCTGTCTGCCACTGGGGCAAAACACCAGCAGGAGAGGGATTGTGTTTGATTGTGGTGGACCAAAACCCAGACTACTGACCAATACGCACTTTGAATCGGGCTTCGAAGGATCAGATTCAAAGTGATGGAGTGGAGAATGGAAGCAGGCAGATCTCTGTGGGTTGGAAGACTTTGTGAGTTGGGATAGATTTTTGCCAGAGGACAGCCAAGTGGATGGCATCTGTGGTCAGCAAGGCATTGCCTTTATTTCCTTGGATCAAAGTTAGCCAGGACTCGGTCTGTTTAAAGTAGGCTTTCTAAAACTCTAACTTGGCAGCTTTTAACTTGGAATAATAAAAATACATCTGATTTGTAATGCACCTTTCATACAAAAATGCAGCTTTGTTGCCATGTTCCCAGTGAGCAGCCATTTCTTAACCACAGTTTTTGTTATGTGTACCCTTGTGGGTCACATGTAATTTTGAATAGCTAAAGACAAGATGGAACTTAAAAATATACAAACGGCTTCCTGCCGACTAAAGAATTCAGGTCAGCTGTTTACATGGGATGTGATTTTATTCTAGTCTTGTGTTTAAATGTCACAACACATTCACTCAGAACAGTGTTAAATGCTTTGCATGACTCATGGTTCAAAATAATCCTTGTTTTTCAGTCCTTCAGTTCATTCTGTCTGAAATAAGCTGTTTTAGCTCCTATCCTTTATGGCCCCTCTCCCTTTAAACCACCTTTGTGCTGATTAATTGCAAGAGGCAACCAAGGTGGGGAGTCGGGGGCAATTTAGACTCTCTAATTAACCTAACAAGCAAAGAGAAGAAGCCAAAGTGCCTGAAAAGAGTCCCCCCATGCATTGGGAGAACATTGAAACTCCATAAAGAAGGCATCCTCAACTAAAAACCGTCTTGCTATGAGGGAACAGCACCAACTACCACATTATAACACATTATTAAAACTTTGCCCAGGGTTCATGTTAGCACCCTCAAAAGGAAAAGCACAACATATAAGATTTTACGTTGAAAACAAACTCTTCACAGAGTAGTTGAGCTTGGAAGCCAGCAGTCTTGGAAAGCAAAGAAGCATACGTCCCCACGCATTTTAGGCCAAGATGGGATGCATGAATGCAGAGCAAGGGGCAATGCAGCCAGCAGTGAATCACATTAAAGCTCTTGTGTGGTAGAATTCTTCTTTTAATCTGTTTTTGAAAACATTTACTCTGTTGCATTGAAATTCCAGCTGTTTATTCAGATTTAGGTGTTTATATGGAGCATTTTTTTAATCTTGTGTTTGGTTTTTAATGCGATTAGAATCATTATACCACGCGCCATGTAAATGTAGCTATTCTTCTACCAGCCGCAGGCCTTTTATTTACCCTGTAGTTAAATATTTTCATTCTAATTTTCATGAGTTGATTTGTAGCTTAGATAGCCTGACTACACTAGACCGCATACATGTTCTTCCCAGCTGCCTTTGCTAACCACGTCTCAGTTGTGTATTCTATTTATGCCACTCATGACACCAGAGAACCAACCGGCTTTGCCCGGGCTTTATGACAACACCTGGCTTGTATTTAACAGGCCTATAAATAGACTTTCCTCCAAATACAAACCACCTGGATGGGGTCAAACCACTGTCACACGCATCCATTTCAGTTTTGCCAGAAAGAGTTATCTGAGATGTAACGATGGTGGTGAACAGTGATTTACATAGATGATATCCATCAGAGCCTGTGGTCAGCCCTGTGGTCTGTGAAGACTAAGCACACACATGGAGGCTTTTTGGTGTCTACTCCATCATTGCTAACCAATATAAGTTAAAGGGAAAAAACGTGATTTACTCTGAGTGAATTTTAATCGTCTTGTAATGGTTTTACTGCTTAGTCCCGCATAACTGATGGGTTTGGGATGGGCCTCGCACATGAAATGTCTGTGTTTGGTTTTCAGTAATTGCTTTTGCATGACTTGGTCACAGGTGTCAGGCAGAGACTTTTGGTAAATGTTTGGCATGGTAGAGTAAGAAAAGTTTCAGGGCCTACCTGGAATAGTCCGGGCTTTAAATAGCGACGAGGCGTTACCCGTTTCCTCTGCCGGTTCACTCACAAACACACATGAACTGATGAAAGTTGACTGGAAATTATGAAGACTTGGAGAAAATAAGAGCAATTTTGCAGTAATTGCCATCAAGCTGTTAGGTCTTCCAGTGCAAAGGCTGCATTGCGTGTTGGGAGTGTGAGTGTGGTGGGAGGTAGATATTTTTAGAATCAAACTCCTCTGTTCCAGTGGCATAGCACTCAAGCACAACATACCTTCTGTGCTGTGCTTTCCTCCTTAAGACGAGCACTTTCCCTTCTATGTTTTGTGTGCTGGGCTGGCGGCCAAGACGGTGGCTTCACAAAGGGTCACAGAGAAGGGGCTTTTAATATGACCGGCTTTTGCTGACTCAAAAAAAGCAGTCCGTGGAAGGATTTATGTAACTACATAACAGCAACAGACTGAGCTTAGATCTTCCCTTTAAGGAAGGCTTATCTAAAAAGAAAAGCTTGCGAGGTTTGGAAAAATGTGATTGTGTAGTTAGACAACTGTCTATCTTCATACTATCCTGTTGTCGTCACTGATTACTTGGAGGCAATCTGAAAGCATCCTGTGGCTCATTTGCTGCTCATTTTGTTTTTTATTTTTTAAATAAATGCCAGTAGATAAGAGTTTTACCAGCCAGGGAGGAAATTATTGTAATTACTTTATATACTACAGGATATTGCATAATTTAGTAGTAGCTTTCCTAATAAAATACATGTAGTCACGTACACCCTGAATAGAACAAGCAGTGGTGACTGCTGTCACCCAGCCACTCAGTTGACAACAGTCTAAGAAATATAGAGATCTGATCCAGTGATTTCAAGCCCCTGATTCAAAGACTAGGATTAGAGACATTTGCACACCAGCTAAATTTAACTATTGCAGTAGCAGACATATAGAGTATTGATAAACAGGTTCTTTTTCTAACTTCGGTCGGTGTTTCACTATGGGAATCGCCTCGGCGCAGGTTCAAAGGACATCATAGCATTTTGATCTTGATTTTATTAATAGAACTTATATATACATATACACGCCCGATTGCCACTGTAGCTTCTTTTCAGGCCCACAGTTTGTGAAACTGCCTTGCAGTTTCTCAGGTCATTGCACAGTCTGACCTCAGGTGAAATTACTGGGCCATCAGCTCCTGGGAAAAATGTTACATTATGTTAACACATGCCTGAATGCACTAGATCAGCAACTTAAAGTTCTGCTTTTATAGAGATGCGCATGCTTGCTGATGATGAATTAACCACATGCATTTTATTAGCAGCACTTGGCTGCGACTTACTCTCTTAATTACTATGGAAACAGTAACCTGTACTTAGAGGACTGATGGCCTGTGAAAAACTTTTTTTTTTCCTAAATTCTTTTATAGGGAAAAGATCTAAATACAACTGATGCAGAGAGCAATATAAAGTTGACTTGCTGAATCATGAGAACAAGAATTCCCTGTTTCCTTCAAATCCCCCCCCCCAAAATCCACAAAAGCATCACATTCCCTAACTATGCCCAAGAGCAGCAGAGCTGTCTGTGATAAATGTGCCGTGGTCATAACAGCTGGGGGATGACAGAAGCTGTCAGACTACAGATTAACTCAAAACCCCACTGAAAGCAGTCATGTCACTTCTTACCTGATGTGCACAGAAGAGCTGATATGCGCACGCGCACGCGCGCGCACACACACACACACACACACGACTGCACACAGAAGTACAAACTAAACTGCGAGCAACTTTGTTTTGTTGCACACATGGCTGAGATGATCTCTTATCATGATTTGCTTTTGCACACATGCACACACAAAAACAGGCATGAAAGATCAAACACATGAGATATAGATCAGAGCACGGATGTGCACAAAGCATATACCGTACACCTCCACCCACTCAAATCACACAGGTAAGTTTTATTGTGTCTTGATGATAAGCCATTAGTGCTGCAAATGTTCTTTCTGATTTATTTCTCTCAAGCTTCCCACACTTTTTTTTTTTTTTTTATCTCAGCAAGTGGAAAGAGGTGGAATTGCTTCTTGCCTATACTGTGAAAAAACAGTGCTGGGGTCTGAGGTGATGGCACTTATGTGGAAGACTTTATTTATTAAAGCTCAGATATAATAAGTTGGAGCAAATGATATTGGTTTCATATTAAAACGTTAGTTGAGCACCTTAGAACACACAGTAACTTGTGTTCCAGATTTCATTACTGCAGAACTTGCTTGTTGTTCTATCAAGTGGATAAATATGCTTTATTTTGTTCTTACAGATGCTTAATGGTATGCAAGATAATACTGTCAGAAGCAGGCAGTCATTCACTGAGAGGCTGTTTGTCAAATTCCATTAAGCAACAAAAATGCAGGAACAACATGTAAACTACCAGATATTAGACTGATATCGGACTGCGTGGGTGAGATTAAACATGTCATGTTTTTTTTTTTTTTTTTTGCTGCAAACCCTACGACTAGTACAAACTTCAAAAGATTTGGAAAAAAAAACACTCCATAAAAATGAAAAAACTCTGCAAGACAACATTAGCATGTCATAAGTCTACATCTACATGGTGGGCCATTTATATGGATACACCGTAATAACATGGGAATGGTTGGTGATATTAAAGTCCTGTTTGTGGCACATGAGTATATGTGAGGGGGCAAACTCCTCATGATGGGTGGTGACCATGGTGACCATTTAGAAGTCGGCCATCTTGGATACAACTTTTGTTTTTTTCAATAGGAAGAGGGCCATGTGACACATCAAACTTATTGGTAATGTCGCAAGAAAAACAATGGTGTGCTTGGTTTCAACGTAAATGTATTCTTTCATGAGTTATTTACAAGTTTCTCTTTGTTCACAGCCATTCAAAGAGGAGGAGCGGATCGAAATTGTGTTGATATCTGGTGAACGCAGTAACCGGGTCATTGCAGCAGATTTCAATGCAAGACGCCCTACGAGACCACCCATTTCCCATGCTACAGTCAGCAAACTGCTTGCTAAGTTTCGTGAAACTGGTTCAGTGTTGGATTTGCCAAAATGTGGACGCAAGAAAACTGTCACTAATGAAGAAACATCAGTGGCTGTCCTAGCTTCATTCAGCAAGAGCCCACAGCGTAGCACTCTCCGCATGTCACTGGAGAGTGGCATTAGTCGAACATCCCTTCAGCGGATATTAGCTATTCACAAATGGCACCCTTACAAACTCCAGCTACAGCAGCATCTCAATGAGGATGACCCAGATCGGTGCGCAGAATGGGCAAAACAAAAATTGGAACAGGACCCTCAGTTCACGCAGAAGATTTTGTTCAGTGATGAGGCAAACTTTTATGTGAATGGTGAAGTTAACAAACAAAACCACCGCTATTGGTCTGACACTAACCCACATTGGATGGATCCCTCCAAGACTGTTGGAACAACAAAAGTGATGGTTTGGTGTGGTATATGGGGTACAACGATACTGGGTCCATTCTTCATCAATAGAAACCTCAAGGCCGCTGGATATTTGAAATTGCTACATGATGATGTGTTTCCCTCTTTATGCACTGAAGCTGGCATGTTCCCAGCAAGTTTTTTCAGCAAGATGGTGCACCACCACATCATGGATGCCAGGTCCGAGCATTCCTAGATGAACAGTTTCCTGGAAAGTGGATTGGTCGTCGTGGGCCAGTTGAACTGCCCCCAAGGTCTCCCGATCTGACCCCCTTAGACTTTTATCTTTGGGGTCATCTGAAGGCAATTGTCTATGGTGTGAAGATACGAGATGTGCAGCACCTGAAACTACAGATACTGGATGCCTGTGCTGGCATTTCTCCTGCGGTGTTGTTATCAGTGTGTGAAGAGTGGGAGAAGAGGGTTGCATTGACAATCCAACACAATGGGCAGCACATTGAACACATTTTATAAGTGGTCAGAAACTTGTAAATAACTCAAGAAATAATACATTTACGTTGAAACCAAGCACACCATTGTTTTTCTTGTGACATTACCAATAAGTTTGATGTGTCACATGGCCCTCTTCCTATTGAAAAAAACAAAAGTTGTATCCAAGATGGCCGACTTCTAAATGGTCACCATGGTCACCACCCATCATGAGGAGTTTGCCCCCTCACATATACTCATGTGCCACAAACAGGACTTTAATATCACCAACCATTCCCATTTTATTACGGTGTATCCATATAAATGGCCCACCCTGTACAATCATTCAAGTGTGAATGCATAGGGCAAAAAGGTGATGGGTTCTCTGGAGGGGCTGGTCAAAAAAGGGAAAATCATGATCACGAAAAGCAACATGATTACTCATTGATTTTGAAATAATTGTGGATTCAAGTGCAGGAAAACCAAATCTTTTCATTGATGTGGCTTTCTTTGCACTTTAACTATAATTCCCTTGAAAAATAAATATGAACTTACTAATTTAGCCACAGTCATACTGGGAGTCAAATGAAAGGGCCATGCTGAAAAGAAAAACAAGAAAATTTATGCAAAACTAAAAAGATGAAATATTTGATATTATCACTTCATATAAAGAGACTCCTTCAGCCCCAAATCACACGCTTCAAGAGACCAGTTGGCAATCATATGGGAGTCACTGGTCGCAATGGAAAATTGTCTATTCCCTGACTGGTTGGTGACTGGTTACTAGAGGTTGCTGGCTGTAGCTAGGTGAAGTCTCTTTGTGATTTCTTTAGTCACTAGCAGATTGTTAACCTGTGCTTTTCTGCAAACACTAACCAACTACTCATAGAGCAACCGTAAAACCTAGAAAATCTGCAGTGTAAACTGAAACATTTTCACATTCACATGGTAAACAGTCCACATTTCTCTTTTGTGTCACACTTTTCAGTGAAGCTACTTGTCAGGGAATATGGGTGGTTGACGTGGGGGTTGTTGACAAGTGTCTTGGTAGTGTGATTAGGGCCTAAACTTGTGGGTAGGGCTCTGAATTTTTAACCTAACAGCACCCTCTTTGCTCCTGTAAAGACTGCTGTGTTGGGTTTCTTGTTTGCTTTAGCTCATTGTCATAGTTCTGTTATTATTTGACTGTTGGAGAGATTCAAAGTCAGAGCAAATTTTACACAAGCCTTCACAAACAGAGTGATGCCTTCCTATAATGTTATTGTGAGCACAATTTTCTGAGGATTATCCCTTTGGACCACGCAGTGATTAATAGGCCTCCTGTACCTTGCAGCACCATTCTTACCCAAATTAATACATTTCTTGGAAAAGTTTGGGGCCGGTTTCAACTGTCTGTCATGCAGTTCCATGGAAACTCTCAAATCTCTGTGTGTGCTCCTTGCAACTTGTATTTGGGCTTGCGTGTGCTTACATGTGGTTGGCATTGTATATGGCATTGTCCTATTTGCACTCCAAATAAGTAGTTCAAATGAGTATCTACTGAAGCACGCACACCAAACGTCATTAATCATTATCCCATCATCCCTCCCATCAGTTTTTAAAGATATTAACTGTAGCGCCTCTGATTGTAGTTGACAGTTTCTTTTTGCATTATTAGTTATGCCAATGTAGTTGTAAAAGCATCATACCATTCATAAAAGTACCCCCATTCGAGTCTCGATGTGCTGGCTGGTTATCAATTAGCAAAAAGAATCAACATGCCACATGAAAAAGATGAGGGGGATTGTTTTTGGCTTTGAGGTTTGTTTGGTTTTTTTTTTTTTTGGTTTTTTTGGGGGGTTTTTTAACCCGCAGGTCATAAAATGATCAAGCAGTCCTTGGAATGCATAGTGGAACTCTTAAAACGTCCTTCAGTGCCAGAAGGCAAACCTAAAAGGAGCAGAAATATTGCCAGCTGTTGCAATCAGAATGGGAGGAGGTACATTTTTAACCTTTACAATATCACATCGTTTATTTCTGGGATTAATATAAACCGAAGGCTTACAGCAGATGTTTTCATAAGCTTGAATTTTTGTATTTATATACTTGCAGTAAATCATGCCACCTTACAGAGCTGTAATCAGTTTTACACATATCATATTTCTTTCCAGTTTGTTTCAGCATACTTTATAGCCGATGGACAAAGTATAGGTTTTGTAATGAGAAAACAAATTGGCAACAGTTTTAGTAGTTCATTAAATGGTTAAAATAAAGTTTTTATTTGTCATCATGGTAAAGGATGGTAGGGTTAGACATGACCAAAGGTTCAAATATTTAGGTTGGTGTATGTGCAGGTAATCCGTGTGAGGAATTCGGACTTCTGTCTAGTCTAACCATATGTGTTGAGTATTGTTTGAATACATTTGTACTTAAACCTTGTGATTATGCAGTGCATCCAGTCAGAAGAGAGTTGGCTTAATGGGAAGAACTTAAAGAAGGAT